CCTGAGCCTCAAGCGACAGCAAAGGATCCAGGAGGACCCACAAGCTACGAATCTGCTCCTTCAGAGAAAGTGTAACTCCATCAAGAGCAGGTGGTCTCCCACCCATCTGGTCTAGAGAACCACCTACTAAGAGTGCCTTTATGTGGATTGAGTTTCAGTCTGTTGGCTCTGATCCAGTCCATTACCAAGGCAAGACACTGGTCCAGCACTTCCACTGCCTCACCTGCAGATCTAAAGGAGAAATAGAGCTGAGTGTCATCAGCATACTGCTGACAAGGTACTTCAAACCTTTGGATGACCCCACCTAGCAGTTTCATGTAGATGTTAAACAACATGGGGGATAGGATTGAGCCCTGGGCAACCCCACATTGAAGGTTCCATGGGGCTGAAAAGCATTCCCAGAGCAAAACCCAGCTTCAAGAAAACATCACTCTCCTGTATCAGTCTCTACAGCCACAGCAGATGCTATAACCCTCCAACAGTTTGACCCCCAAAAGGCCATAGCTGTCAACGTTTCCTTTTTTTTAAGGGAAATTCCCTTATTCCGAATAGGATTCCTCACAAGAAAAGGGAAAAGTTGACAGCTATGCCAAAAGGCACACTCTTCCATTGTCTCTTGAGGCAGACAGATGCCAACCAATGCAATCAATGCTATGTAGACCAGAAAAAAATATTTCCTGAGAATAACAATTAAGAAATTGTATTCCCTGTGCTTTACATTGATCATGACATTGCTATTTCTCCTTGGGAAACCGACGAGGAGAGAGAGAGAGAAGGAAGCCTCTGGGCTGATTGTATGTGACACAATGCATACATAACCTGTGTCGTTTAACATTATGTGATCTCAAAATATTATGGGGAGTTGAAGTCATGCTACAGTTAATTTGGGGATTCGGTGACCTCAGATCTGCAGTTTCTTTCTAGGACAAATTCTCTTCCTGGCTGTGCCTCGTAAATGCATTTTTTGTCAGGAACCTCAGTGTCAGGTTGTTTCTCAGAAGGAATCCCACTGTTATTTGTGCAGTGTTCAGCCATCTCTGTTTTACAAAGCCATTAAATCAGATGGGTGGGTAGAGCTCTGAACTCTGAAAGAAAACAAGGGCTTTTCAGTGCTATCACAGACATTCTGACTGTATAGGAAAAAGAGGGAGCTTGCAATGTTCATAGCATTCCATGATTCACAGGTAAAAATGGCTGCAGAATTCTCATGCTTATAGGAAATAGTGTTAACAGGATATAGTGATACTGGAAGACTTCTGCAGCAATGGACGCTTGGTGTCTTCTCATGACAGCAGTCACATCAAATGCAATTTATTTGTGTGGAATTTCTGAGCTCTGGCCACCATCCATAGTGCCTCTACTGAAGACCACATTTGCATTTCTCTTCACTGTTCTGCTATGCTGGGTATCATTTTGTTTTGCAGAAGTTTGTGTCTATTAACAACAGAGAGTTGACCAAACGAGAGAGAGAGAGACAGAGAGACAGAGAGAGAGAGAGAGAGAGATGGGTTGACCTCTTGATGGCATTCTGTTAATTGGTGCTGGAGCTCAGGACTAAATCTCCTAACAGAGACAGCAGCTTCAGATGTGTTAAAATTCCTACTGCCCATGCTCTGTGATCCTGATCATAATTGTTTGATTAACAATGAAGAATCAAAGAGTAGTATTCAATGAAGGTTTATTCAGAGCAGGCCCATTGAAATTAATGGCCATAACTCTTGAGTAACCCTTCACTGAATACCACCCTTTGATTCTTCATTGCTGGTCCATATTACAACTGGTCAACCAAAACGTGGTATTAGATGCATCTTTGCATTTCACATGAATGTGTGTGGTTTTTAAATGCAAAGAGCACACAGTTATTACCCAGTTATTTTGATCAGGATCACAACAGGAATTTTAACCCTTTCCTCCCCCGCAAGGGTCCAAAAGAAACTCCAACCTCTGAAGTTTCCATTAGGAGAAAAATCTCTCCCTGGGGCCAGTGGAAGCTTTCCTCCCAGTTCAAATAGTGGCTTCAGGACCACAACAAGGGAGGGAATGCTTAAATTTACCCTGCTTGCCTCCTGTAATGCCAATAATTATCGACACACACACACACACACACACACACACACACACACCCCGTCTGCTTTTTGTTTTTAAAAGTACAAGCACACACAAGCACATTAAATGCCAATTCATTCACATTTAACATCACCCTACCTTGGCTCTAAGTTATTAAAGGCCAGTGAGGCAAAGAAGGATGTTTCTGTCCCAGCTGTCAGGGTAAGGATTAGCAGCCACGGTAGCATAAGAGGATTAGACTGCCAGGATCTTACCCAGAAATAGGGTCCATACTTTCCAATGCTCTGCTGTATGTGCAAGGCTGCAGTTGCTGTACTTTACACCCTATGGCTCCAACACTTACTCACGCTTTTCTATACCTGCGGTGATCAGCAGGACTCTTAATTTTACCTCCCACCGTGTGTGAAAGGCAATTGCATGAGAATTGCTGCTAGAAGGTTCAAAGACTGCAGCCTCACTCAGTATCTCAGCGGACTGAAAGATAAGAGCACGTCCCAATGGCACACGGTGTGGCACTGTATGTAGTTCCCCCTGGTTGATATAGTCTTATTGTATCTTATTTATTTTTATGACAAATAATATTGTTTAGTTATTACTTTTGTATGGTGGTCTGATTCACATATTGATCATATGTATGCCTGAATTTGCCTTCTTTGAAATCATTATCCTAAATCCAGATTGCAACCTTACTGTCCAACATAGAGATTTAATTCTTTTTCTTCCAAAGGCCCAGAAAAGACTGTTTATGTACATGACAACAGCCGCACGGATGTTACTAGCCCAGAGATGGAAGGAAGAGACAAGCCTGACCAGAGAAGAATGGCAAAGCAAGTTGATGGACTATGCCCAAATGGCGAAATTAACTGGGAAGCCCAGGAAACAAAAAGACAAGAACTTTAAAAAAGAATGGGGAAAGTTTATAATTTATATACAGTACAAGATCACTGTAAGCAGGTTAAAACAGTGACAGGATTTTATGCACACTTGTAATGTAACAGAATGTACAGATAATTTTGGAAGACTAAAAATTGGAGAAGTATTGATATGCAGTGGGAAATAGTATCAATAGGACCCATGGAAGGGATGAGGGAAGTCAGGAGATTCAGAGTACAGTGGTACCTCAGGTTAAGAATTTAATTCGTTCCGGAGGTCCGTTCTTAACCTGAAACTGTTCTTAACCTGAGACATCACTTTAGCTAATGGGGCCTCCTGCTGCCGCTGCACCGCCACCGCGCGATTTCTGTTCTCATCCTGAAGCAAAGTTCTTAACCTGAGGTACTATTTCTGAGTTGGCAGAGTCTGTAACCTGAAGTGTCTGTAACCTGAAGCATCTGTAACCCAAGGTACCACTGTAATCTCGATATTTGGATTCAGAATTGATTTTGTTATATGTATATATTCTTGAAAATCAAATAACATTTTATTTATGTTTTAAAAAAGATTTAATTCTTTTTCTAATGGTCGCCATCTGGAAATCCCAAGTGGAGCCACCTCTTGGGACAGGGTTCAAAAATATTTGGGATATAGGTAGTTCAGAAGAACTAACTGGGCTTAGAAGAGTTGCAAACAGGGTTATAAAGGAAAATACCTTCGATGAAACCTGGTCTCCCTTTTTTTCACCCGTGAGGCAAGGTGCAGCAACTGCCTCAGGCAGCAGCCTCCAAGGAATGTATCACCTGAAGCTGCAGCAGTGGCAATGAAAGCTGCGACATGCCCCTTGTAGGCTGAATCTGCCGCCTCCTCGGCAGCCTCCCCAAAGCCGCCCCACAGTGGCCTTTCAGCAAATAGTAGGTACTGCTGTTCTCCTCCCACCCTTGTTCCCGATGCAGATCTTTATCCCATCCCTGTTCCTGATGTAGGTCTTCACTCTCCCCTTCTTCCCTGGCAGGGGCACGTTGTTTTGTGGTTTGCCTCAGATGCCAGAATGTCTTGGGCCAGCTCTGCATTTACAGACCCTCCAAGTGTCCCTATTTTCCAGGGACAGTCCCAGATTAGCAGAAGCCGCCCTGGTTTCTGCTTTGATCTTGGAATGTCCCACTTTTCCTTAGGATCCCCCTATTTTCATCGGAGAAATGTTGGAGAGTATGGAGTTATGTGACTGCCGAGCCAAGGAGATAACTGTATAACTTTTAGAAGACATCTGAAGGTAGCCCTGTATAGGGACATTGTTTAATGTTTAATGCTTTATTATGTTTTCAAACCTAGACAGCATCTTAAAAAACAGAGACATCACCTTGCCGACAAAGGTCCATATATCTAAAGCTATGGTTTTCCCAGTAGTGATGTATGGAAGTGAGAGCTGGACCATAAAGAAGGCTGATCGCCAAACAATTGATGCTTTTGAATTATGGTGCTGGAGGAGACTCTTGAGAGTCCCATGGACTGCAAGAAGATCAAACCTCTCCATTCTTAAGGAAATCAGCCCTGAGTGCTCACTGGAAGGACAGATCCTGAAGCTGAGGCTCCAAAACTTTGGCCACCTCATGAGAAGAGAAGCCTCCCTGGAAAAGACCCTGATATTGGGAAAGATGGAGGGCACAAGGAGATGGAGGGCACTATTATTATTGAATAGTAAGTCTCTATTTTCATCAGAGAAATGTTGGAAGGTATGCCTTTAGGTCCTTCAGGCAGCAAAATGTCTTGGGCTAGTCTTAAATGGCTTCTCTGTTTGAAGTCTGTGAACGAAAATTTGATATGAACCTGAATGATATGAACTTCCTTGGAAATCATAGCGGACATTGCAGCATTTTACTTTTTAATGACATGAACATGCAGACTGGCCTGCTGAGAAAGCAGGAAGGAGAGAAAAGACATGGAACACCTGCCTAAATTATGCTGATTTCTTTTTTTGAGTATGTACATGTACAGTTGCAATTAGTGATGATCCAACAGATCTCCCCTTGTAGCAGAGATGGCTAACCAGATAGCTGGGAGAGCGCAGTTGGTAGAGTATGAGGCTCTTAAGCTTAGGGTTGTGGGTTTGAGCCCCACATTGGACAAAAATTCCTTCATTGCAGGAGGTTGGACTAGTTGACCCCTGTGGCCCCTTCCAACTCTACAATTCTATGATTCTATTATTACTACACAATTCCCAGCATTCTTACCCACCAGCCATGTTGGCTGGGGCTGACAGGAGTTGGAATCCAACTGCATCTGGAAGGACACAGTGACCCACGCTTGTATTTCAGAGTATGAATTTCAGATTATGCCATGACATAATGACACAATCCATAGGGGTCCGAAACTTCTGTCCTTCCAGAAGGATTTAACTTTAGAGCTTACGATATGAAGTTTCATATTAGTATTTTTCTCTTTGGCCTAAAAAAAGGGGGGGGAGGAAAGGGGAGAATTCAAAGCTTAAGCTGGCTACTTTACCTCATTTTAAATTCAGGCCAGCTTATCTCACTCGCCAAATAGAATCTAATTTTAGACTTTATTTATATGCCTCCTGTTGGAACGCACAAGATAGGCTTTATGCTCTGAGCGATGTTAGTTTGTATTAATAAATTGATGCTATTATAACCAGCTAGTAGTCATGCAGCAATGGAAACATTTTGCAATGCCATTATAGTTGGATTTAGCTTTTGTGACCTTTATATGCTATCTAACAGGGAGGGAAAGTGAGAGAGATGTATCTCATTGTGCCAGACAATATACACAGTGCAGACAAGCTGCAGAGAGCGGTGGGTTTCATAGCATAAATCTTTTTGCTTTAGCCAGGTTGGAAATGCTCAGTAATTCAGAAGAACAACCTTTAATTTACTGCTTTCCCTGGACACCTCAGAGGGCTGGTGGGAGGGGGAAACCTCATTACAAAGACCATCGTTCCTCTATTGGCAGGAAATGCAGGAGGTAAAGAATGCCAAAGAATTGCTTATCACAATCCAGTTGGTTGTTATCACAGGGAGAGAGAGGGAAAATATATAACCGAGTTTAGACTGTTTGGACACAATTGCATGAAAATGCACCTTGCTGTTCCTTTAATATTTTTTTTAAAATGCACCTGAAATGAAATTCACAAGGCCCAGTCAGGTCCTTTTAATCTGCTAATGTTTCTCTGCAATGCGAGCTCTGCAAATGTACTTGTTAGCTCCTGCCATGACAAGGTGTTGATCTACTTCAGACCTTAGCATCATTGCTCCACGCTCTGAGAAATGCGTTTCTTTTTTGGAAGCAGAGAGGTAGTTGTAGGGCAGAGATAAAGTAATGGATTTTGTCATATGTTTTATGGAATTACATTTTAGTTCATTTGCAACAGGGCCAAAATGCTGTCTTTTGGAAGGCGTCCACCCCAGTGCTTCTATGCACATGAGATATGACTGAAATTCAAGCAAGGAGGGAACACAATTTGAGTTTCTTTCTTATGCAAAGCCTTTTCTGAGACAGCTGAGCACCAATGTCTGTGTTTATGGGAAATGTGAAGAGTATTGCTGGCCCAGCCAGGAACTCACATGAAATGGAATTGTTATGTACTGGGCCAGCAGGGGGATACTGTAGATAGTTATGCAAATGAAGGATCGAAAGTGATGTTCAGTGATTGGATAGTTTGTATGCAAATGAAGGATCGAAAGTGACATTCAGTGATTGGATAGTTTTAGAAAATGGCAACAGTTACATTGTTCTGCAGCTCTGTATAAGCAGGCTGACTGAGCTCCTCAGTTAGTTCTGTTCTGCCTCTGAATAAAGAAGAGCTGTTTGAAGAATTGCTGTGTCGTCTGATATGTTCACCCACAACTTAACAGGAATAGAACAAACTAGAACTAGAATATTGACTTGGATTGGAGCCCTTTTGCTTAAGTGTGTGAAAGCACTATTATATTATTTGTGTACAAAATACATGCATAATATGTCAGATATGAATTCTGCATAAGTATAAATTTTGCCACTTGTCTCTTTAAAATACGTAGGATTCATAGGGCAGCCATATTTCAAAAAGTAAAAACCAGGACGCCCAGAAAGTTTTTTTAAAGGAAAACCCAAAAGTTCTTGAGCTTTTTTAAAGACAAACCCCAAAGTTGGTGAGCATATTTACTACAAAAACGCAAAAAAAAGAAGGGGGGGGGGGTTTCCAATTGACTTGTCTAAGATCCAGGACAAAGCGCCGCCTTTCAGAAATTCCCTCCAGATGTCAAATTCACCTTTGAAATCCCAGTAATCCTGGATGTATGGCAGCCCTACATAGGACTATCAGGTGTCTTTTGTGGGTCATGAAGCAAACAACTGTGTGTGCGTGTGTCTCAGGTGCCTCTGAATGCATCTTGTACTAAGATAGTGTAGCCAGGTGCAATCTCATGCTCTCCCCTGCAAAAAAACCAAAAAAACTTTTTATGTACTCAGTTGAATAGGATCCAAAGGACAGAAGTCTGATTGGTCCTAGAACAATAGGGTCCAGAATGCAGCAGTCTGATTGGTCCACAGGAGCCACCCAATCCAGCTCCAGGTGGAAGTGAATCCACAACCTGATTGGCCTACAGGTGAATCCCGGAATTAGCCAATCACGTGGGGCCCATTGTGTAAATAATGTATATAAAGCAGAGATTTTGGGGAGAACTTCCATTCCTCCTCACCACTAAGAGCTGAATAAAGAGCATGAAATCCACTCTCGACTCCGAGTATATTTCAAAACTGCTCTTCAGATGAAGGGAAACTTAGACTGGAATCGAAAGGCAAGGATTGGGAAAGTGATGCAAAATATGCCGGAAAAACAATCTAGTATTATGCATGTTTACTCAGAAGTGAATCCACACATTTCCAGCTGGAACGACTCCCAAATACATGTGCATTAGAGCATATGCAAAGGGTGCACAAAACAAAATAAAACAAAAAGGAAGATGGTAAAGTCATAATTAATACTTGTTTTCTTTCTTTGGGGGGTTGCAAAAAATAATAATTCTCTAATTCTAAAGGTTTTCATTACGTCACTTTCGTCTAAATGGATAGTCTGTAACATGGTTATTACTTAAACAGATAACTTCCAGTGTCAATGAAGAAGAAGAGTTTGGATTTGATATCCCGCTTTATCACTACCCGAAGGAGACTCAAAGCGGCTAACGTTCTCCTTTCCCTTCCTCCCCCACAACAAACACTCTGTGAGGTGAGTGGGGCTGAGAGACTTCAAAAAAGTGTGACTGGCCCAAGGTCACCCAGCAGCTGCATGTGGAGGAGTGGGGAAGCGAACCCGGTTCACCAGATTACGAGACTACTGCTCTTAACCAGTAAACCACACTGGCTCAAAAGTGAATGGGTTGGGTGCTATGAAATGTGAAAATGGCTACTCTCTCCTTCTACCCATAATGGCTACTGATGGGAGTCTGCTTTCTTCTTCAGAAGTGGACTCGTATTACTTTCCTCGGTAGGGCCATAATGTTTGGAACAGACTTCTTACACCTTGACTTAGCCTTGTGGATTCTCTTCTGAATCCTTTCCCATCTGTCCATATTATTAGTGCCAAAAATGGAACTTAGTATTGTAACTCAAATACTTACCGGTGACTCCTCTCTGAATACCAGTCTATATCTGCAAATTAATATTAAGCGTGCCTTTTTCACATTAACAGTCCTTGGAAGAGATAAAAGCTGTGTGACATTATATACTTCTTAAATATGAAACTCAAGTGCATTTTCATTCAGCATTTTACTGATTTAAAGAATGGAGATCTATAGTTCCTTAGGAAGACTAGGCAGACCATAGCTCTAAAGAGATAGGCAGGTAGTATAATTCTTCATGTACACAATTTCAGTGAAACAAAGGGGGAAAGGAAATAGCAATTTTTAAATTAGTTCTGTTGATGATAGCTGGCAAGCTTTTGAATGTCGAAAAAATAAATAGCATGAATGAATATGACTACCTTCTATGTCTGCGTTCATACCAAACAGTCATTATTTTCACCACTTATGAGCTTGTTCTCAGACACAGGCTTCCTCCTAGTTTATAAATAGAGTCCACCTCCAATTATGTGAGGACCAGTAAATAAGAAGAGTTGTAGTACATTTTCCTCTTTCTCACACATTTTGTATTTGGTCTCACAATGTTTTCGGGTTATGGGGATATGCAGATTTATAAACAACAGTAAGGTTTGTGGCACCCTGGAGACTAACAGATTCATTGGGGTGTAAGCTTTCATGGGCCAGAGGACATTTGGTCAAATCTGACAGTGTGGGCTCTAACCTAATGCCACAATAAGTTGGGTCATCTATGAGGTCCCCAGAGCTCTTCATTGGCTTGGCTCCAATGGACTGACACAATTTACTTCTCCAGAATCTAGAATCATCATTCAGAAAGAGGGCATACTTTTTCAATGTGAGACACAAGTTTTATCCTGAGTCCTCCCAGCCTTGTCCAATTTGCTCCCATCCCAGTCAAATTGGAAAGCCATATGGGGGTAGGTTGCTGATCCAAAGCTACAAGGTGAAAGGAAAGATTTGATCACTCCATTTTCACTAGGAGCAGGACAGTGTGCAACTTGTGATCACCTGTCAAGGAGCTGTCAGGCAAGCCCAGGTCATCCACAGGGCAGGAAAGGACGGGAGGCACGGAATACAATTAGCTTTTTATGAACAGAAAATAACAACACAGCAGAGTCTGTGTCTGGCATTCTGCTTCTGGTTCCTCTCTCATGCTCAGGCCTGTTGCTTGTTCAGCATCCAACCATTCTGTCTCTCCCACCCCTTCATCCTCTGACCTGTTTTCAGTGTCCCACCACCACTCCCCTAGCTCTGAGCCTTCGTCTTCTGAGGCTTCCCTAGGGAGTTCTCTGGCTGGAGCTTCTCACCACTCCTCATTGTCCAGCCGAGATCATTACCCCACTCTTACTTACCATCCCAGGCCGCCCATCTGAGGCCACATTGTTCTTTCTTTTATCGGATCAAAATGATCAGACAACAGCGAAGGTTGCTAGGTTTATCGAGGGTGCAATGAGATTAAGGGCCACTATCTGAACGATTGGTCGTTTGATTGCCCTTTTTACCCATTGCTGTCTTTTTTATTTGTATATCTTTTA